AGCTTGACAGGAATCGATGAGTGAAGACTTTTGTTTGATGGGGACTTCCTCCACGTCCGTGTCCCGACTGTGCCAAACAAATCACGGTACAATTTTCTTTATAAAGGAAAAGTTCCTTCATTTTCTTGTGAGCGCGGTACTGCTAGGTTGCCTATACCAATCCACAATAAAGAACAACGACTTGATCGCTGGGCGGAGTATTTTAGTGAACAGTTCAGTTGGCTCAGTGCTAATGTGGTCATTCCATCAATTGCGGTGGAAGCTCCATGGGTGGTACCATGCGAGCCCCCATCAGAATCGGAAGTACTATGCTGCATTCAATCATTAAAGAAAGGGAAGGTTACGGAACCTGATGGGCTTCTCCCTATTCTTTTCAAGGTGGGCGGTGATTCTCTTGTCGACTCAATTACAAGCTTACTTCGCAGCATTTGGACGGAGGAGCGTATCCCTTTGTCCTGGGGTGAATCGTTGATCGTCCCGATCTTCAAGGAGTCAGGCAACGACTGCGCTAACCACCGTGGGATTAGTTTAGTTCCGATAATCACAAAAGTGTTGACCTCTGTGATACTTCGCCGCCTGACACCCTTTAGGGAGAGGAGTATCCGCGAACAACAAGCCGGATTTCGATCAGGTCGCGGGTGCATCGACCAAATCTTCACTCTGCGTCATGTCCTCGAACTGCGTCACACACATCGTCGGCCAACAATCACAGTGTTCCTTGACCTAAAAGGAGCCTTCGATTCAGTTGACGGTGAAGCTCTTGTGGGCTTGCTGCTCCGCAAAGGAATGTCGCGGAAGTATGTAAACCTATTGCGGTCGTTGTACCTGCACACTTCAGGTAGCGTTAGGGTCTACGGTGGGGTGAGTAAATCGTTCGAAACCAGGAGCGGCGTCTGTCAGTGGTGCCCCATTTCGCCATTCCTGTTCAATTTCGTCGTAGACGAAGTACTGGATAACGCACTTGGTGGACTCCAAAACGTAGGTATTGAATGGGCAGCTGGAGAAAGGCTGTGCGATTTAGAGTACGCTGATGACATCGTATGCCTGTTCGAATCTATGAAGGATGCGCAATGTGCTCTTGACAGACTTTCAAGTTCTGTAACT